ATGGCCTTTGAATAAATTTTCAGAGATTTATGTCCTCTATTTGTGACTGTAGCAACTGACAAGACAGACTGACTGATGTAATCTTCCTAGACTTCTGTACAGCCTTTGACACAATCCCTCATGACATCTTTATCTCCAAACTGGAGTCAGATGGATTTGAAAGGTGGAGTATTTGTTTGATAAGGAATTGGCTGGATGGACACAGCCAGAGAATTGTGGTCAATGGCTCTGTGTCCAGGTGGAGGCCACAGACAAGTGGTGTTCCTCAGGGTCCTGTCTTGGGACCTGTGCTCTCCAATATCTTCATCATTGGCATCAACAGTGGGCTCAAGTGCACCCTCAGAGAATTTTCAGATGACACAAAGCTGAGCAGTGTAGTTGACACAACAGAAGGATGGGATACCATCCAGAGGGACCTGGACAAACATGAGAAGTGGGCCCACAAGAACCTCATGAGGTTCAACAAATCCAAGGGCAAGGGGCTGCACCTGCGTCAGGGCAATCCCAGACATGAGCACACACTGGGAAGGGAACTCATTGAGACCATCCCTGCAGAGAAGACGTTGGAGGTTCTCATGGATGAAAAGCTGGATGTGAACCAGCAATGTGCCCTCACAGCCCAGAAACCCAACTTCATCCTGGGCTGAGTTAAGCAGACAAAATGAGGGACAGATGGAAACTTCCATATTGTAATTCAGTAAATTATTCCAGCCTATATCTCATGGTTTAAGCTGATACAATGATTATCAATCTTTTCATTTGGCAATGATTATGTAATGAAGATAAAATGTACCTAACTGTAATACAAGGATGAAACAAGGAAATTAAGGACAGTAAGTGAATAATGAGGGAAAAGCAAACTGATTATCCAGTTTTTTCTCCAGTAACTGTTTTCTGAAATAATTTCTGGAGTTCAGTTGCCTTAGCTTTAAATGTCAAAAACAATGTAGCTTTCACAAACCTCCTTTAGAACACTACAGTTTTCCTTGAAGATTTACTGATGGTGAAAGGTGATGGCACAGCTCCCCTGCTAACACAATACAGAGCTGTGCACAGAGGCTGTCTGACATTGTTCTGGTCACTCCCATGCCTGTGCAGACTCCTCCAAAGTCTTTGAACTTACAGTCTGAAGGCCAAATCCTGACAAAGATATTCATTGTGAATACTACCTTCATTACCTAAATTATCTGTTTTGGTCATCTTGTCTCTCCTGGGGAGTGGCATCTCTTTGTTTGACCCAGCTGAACGCAGTAACATTCAATGCAAATATTAGTCCATCATTATGGTGCTTTAAACAAACAAGCAAGTTTGGTTTAGATCTTCCTAAATGCCTTGAAAGAGGCATGATGTAAATATGAGTGCAGACAGGGAGGCTGCAGAGGGGCTGCTGGAACACCTAGCATGTCTTAATGGTTACTCTAAGCAATTCCTTTCCAGCACGTGGCCTTCCTGTCTTATCCTCCTGTCTCTCAAGGGAGAGAGAAGCAATAGAAGAAGCTGTGACAACTCTCTTAGGTACCCTAAGTAATGTCAACAGCAACAGAAACCTTTTTGGCTGTTCAAATTGCTAATATGGGCTGCTGCTGTAGGACTATGCTTGTCTTTGCATCAGCCAACAATATTAGCAGGATTTCTATACAGTCCCTGGGGTGAGGAGAGATCCATGACAATTCACACTGTCAGGGGTATGACTTCATAACACTTTCTTTTTTCCTAATATCTGTCAAATACCTTCAATTCTTTACTTGCCTGAAATGTTACTCCTGAAAATAACATATATTGTTTTCAGGCTCTGTAAGGATAGGATAAGCTTACCGATGGAAAGTTGAATAGTAGTTCCTGGTTAAATATGGTCTTCGGCTGTGTCCTGCTAAGAGTAGTTTGAAGAAATGACAATTTAGAAAAATGTTGTTTCAGAAACTATTCTGAATAATTTATTGCCCCTGCACACAGAGCTGGCTTCATGCACAAACACCATATCAAGTTTGATATGAAGACTTGAAGTTAAACAAGCAAGGAAAAATGGCTGAAGGTGCCACCTCAGAGCTGCAAAAGAATCTCTGGACAGAACTAACCAAATAATCATAGAATTATTTAGGCTGAAAAGAACTTCTAAGAACATTTAGTCCAACCATTAACCTAACTATTTGGGCAGAACTCTTTTGGGTATTGAATGTACTGCTGGTTACAGACTCCTGACAAAGGAAAACAAATTGCCACATTTAGATTTTATGAGAAAGCACAGGAAATATATGTGGAACTGCTGTAAGGGTGGAAACTTAGGGGGAATATGCTGAATTCATAAATTGAACAGAAGTATCATTTATATTGTAGCACACAGAAGAGGCAGAAGCTGTATGCCTTTGGAAAAAGAAGAAAGAGCATTTTTTAAAGGGCATCATTATATTAATTGTTTTCAGCAGTTTCTTACAATTGACATAGAGTTGGCAGCATATACAAGTTGAATTTTTTCCATCTTCTTTCTACTTGTTTACTGCTCAGAGCACTTGAAGATTTGTCTCTGCTTATTAATTAAAATAAAACAAGAAGTTCAAGAGTTGTCCCCTAAATGCTTGTAGCAACTATTTAAGAGGAGATTGGGACCCTGACTCTGCTTGTGGTGACTGCCTGCAAGGGCCAGCACTTCCATCTTGGAGAAGGTGACAGCCTTTCCTCCTTTCTGGAACTCAAATAGGAGGTTTGCAGTCAGTATCAGGTACATCTGGCTAGGAATGCCCCTGCAGGATAGATCTTAAACACAATTTCACTGAGCTCCAGTAGCAAGGATTTAGTCAGGATCTCATGCAGGGTGCTGTGTATGATTGTCTGTATCTGTATGGCCGAAGTAATCTGTTTATTATATGATTTTTAAGTTTAAGGTTTAGCAGTAACAGTTGCCCTTGTCAGCATTTTTACCCCATGCTGTCATCATTTCTTTCTTTTTTTCCAGTAGAAAGACATTTCTCCCTGAACCATTTCTCCTTAACACCATTTATAAACAACAGAAATAAGTAACTTGACAGTGACGTACATTTGCTTCAACCAGAGTCATAGGGGGAGATTTCAGTCTGCATAGTAATGCATGATTGCTGCTAAAATCTGAGAGGCAAGATAATTTTTTTAATTGCTTTTTTTTTTAATTCTTGGAGGCTTTCCTAGAATGATGCATACTTATTTACATAGAAAAAAGTCAAAACCAGGACTGCAATATTGCATCCAATTTTTGAAATGTTTTGACACAATTACTGAGATTTACTAGGTAATTTCACATGCTTGTCTGGCAATTTATAATCCATTATTTTGCACTACAGGCTGCATCCTTGAGTTTATTTTACGGCATAGACATAAAGTAAACTAAATGACAACATCTCCTGGCGTCTCCCTTTTATCTATGGGAATGACCTTCAGGAAAGAAAACCCAAAGGATGTCGTGCATCCATTTTGAGATATATTATTTTCATTAATCTGAATGTTTCTGAGTAAATGAGGAAGTAAGACTTGGCTTAGGTTAGAAGAACAATGCAATTACTTAATAAACCATGTATCATGAGACTCAGGGTCAGTATTGCATCAAATGTTGCACTGTTTGGGAACCATCTTTGGGTCTTGGTCTTCTAATATTATCTGCTAAGAAAAAATTCTGAAAATCTGGTTTATTTCTTTGTGTGCTGATGGGTTCTGCAGTGAAGTTTGGATATGAATGAAATACAGCATGAAACTCCCACTCAGTTAAGGGTATAATTAGTCACCCCCACTGGAGATAGCTTTCTACTAAAGGAGAGAAGCAATTAAGTATTTGACATAAATATGGACCATATAGTCCAAATTCTACTTCCCTTCCTTTAATCAGAAATCAATGAAGCAACTCTGTGTTATAAGCATTAGAAGTAAGAAGAGAACTGCAGGCAGAGTAAAATAAAACACACTGGGTAAAAGACTACAGAACTACAGCCTGGTTTTCACAGAAGATATCAGACTTACATGTAAAATAACTTTTTAAAAGCTGGAGGGAGGAGAAGAGAGAGGAAGGAAAGGTATGCCTGGCCTGCAGGTTACAATTTGTGCTGAAAGGTCAGGAACATTGGAATTCTAAGGGTTTGTTTTTGCACACTATTTGGAGTCACTTCATATTTTGTACTGGAACTGAACTTCTCCAATGATAAATGTGTTTAGCTCCAGTTATTTGGTTTGTCACGAGCTGCAAGCAGGGGAAAACCATGCTTATTATCCAGACTAGTGACATTTCAACTGGGAGGCTTCTGTTCCTCCAGTTCCAATAAACAAAGTTAATTTACTCAACGTTTTTTTCCTGGAAAGGTTATATATAGTTGGATGATTTTTATTACACAGGATTTTTTAATTTTGTCCTGAAACTTCTGTTTTCATTTTGGCCACTGATCTATAGAACATCATGATATATAACAGCACAAATACAAAAAAACCACCAGAAAAAACCCAACCAACCAACCAACCAACAAAATTATTGTATACCACTCTTTAACTTGTCCTCTATGTTGTTCTAATGAAATAATAATACAGAAAACAGTTATTAAGTGGAAACAGTGCTGTGGGTCAGGTGGCTCATTGCTACAGTGCCGCCACACTAAAAGCCCATTTTTCAGCATGAAGAAATATGTTCTGCTCTAAGATCTAATGTGAGCTCTGTCCCTTTGGAACAGTCCTGAGACTGTGTGCTGTACATAGCATGATATATGATCTTGTAGGAATGTAGGAAATGGAGCCAATGTTCCCATTTAAACAAAAAAGAAGCCAGGATTCCAAAGTTTGTAGTTCAGGCTAATAGAATTGTGGTCAATTTGAAGTGACATTTGTCTAGTGAAAAAAACTAATATTCTTTTACTGTAGGTTAGGTTTCTAATTTTGTAATTCTCAATAATTATCACCCTATAACAATTTACACAAATTTTCCTCCTGTAACCAACCCTAAATGACACCACTTATTTAAGACACACTTGAAACTAAAGAGTAGCTTGTATTACCTCCCGATCCAAGTGCTTTTCTTCCTTATCATGGTCCTTCAATGCCTTTTCAGAATGATTACTGCAGTCTTCTAAATGACAGATGTGCTGATATTTAGTAAGTTCATGTTTAGCTTGCTTTCTTTGAGGAACATTCCTTCTCTGAAGACCTTTGAAAAATGCCTCATACAGTGGCAGTTCTGTAAATGTATCCTCGTCACCTCTGTTATCTGTTTCTTCCTCTTTATAAGACAAATCACCTGCTTCTTCTGCCTCGCAAATGTGGAGCTTAGTGTCAGCTTTGTGTGATAAAAATTCAAAATCAGAAAATGTGATAGCACATGGTTTGTGTTTTATGACTCTGATCTCATAATTTGCTTCTGGCTTCTTGTCTGAATTTTTTCCTGTGGGGATTGGCCATTCTGTGTGCATGGGAAGGTTTAAAGGATCTTCCTGTGACATGTGCCTTGTAGAACAGGTTAATTCTTCACAAAGGTGCTTTGTCTCGGGCTGGTTGGTGCCACTGGCACGCCCTGCAGCTGTGCCAAGTTGTAAAGATGTCTCATTGTGGTCCAATAAGGATGACACAGACAGCAAGCTCAGCTCAGGTTCCAGTAACACATTCTGAAATTGATATGGAGTTGTCTGATTTTCTGTCTTTCTTTGGTATTCTTCATACTTGGCTTCCTTTGGAGTTCCCAGGCACTCGGCAGATGTAAGATAAGGTGAGCCCTGTTCTTCTTCATAGATGTTAGCTTCCATTCCAATGGGTTTCATCCATCAGAGTTCAAAATTACTTCATTCTTGTGTTTCTTAGGAAACATAAATATGCATATGCAGCCAGGAAATATATTCCTTGATTTCCAAAACCATGATCACACAGTCATTATTAATGCTTGAATTCTCATACAAAACATCTGAATCCTTAAAGCTCCTGAAAAAAAAAAATAAATTAATGGCAACATGCTTGCAATGGAGTGCATCAGCAGAAATGTTCATATCAAATTTACTCGTGCCTCTTCAAAAATGTATCATGTATGCAGATTAAATGAACTTAAAACATGAGAATTCTAACTTGTTTTGCTTAGAGAATGGGAAAGAAATGGAAAATGAAGAAATATTTTTGAATTAATGATTTTAAGTTGATTATTGACACAATGGTTCAGAATAATTTGAAGTGATGTTAGACATATGCTTGTTATCTAAAAATGCCTCTGTTCACTGTATTTTCATTGCCTGTTAAATGACAACTTTTACACTTCTCTGATAAAGCTGCTAAAATGCCATAGGGAAGACTAAGGAACAAAAGATAGGGAAATGTCATAGGAAAAACAGACAGAAAAGGTGTCATTACAGGTATGATTGTCTCAAATTCAGTGAATTGCCAGTGCAGTGCAGTACTTGCCCATTTCCAATAGATTTGAAAAGGGAAAGGAGGACGCTAAAAATAACAGAGAGCTTCAATGCTACATTTGAGTTGGCCTTGTCTGCTTTAAAAGTCTTAATGTCCGTGCTCACATCTAGGCAGTGCATCTCCAATGCACTGGGAGAAGGGAGCAGCTGAAGAACTGATCTTGCATCACTGAATAGCTTCTATTCACCCATGCATGTCATTTACTTCTTGTGACAGATTGAATATTGATAGTATTTATTTTAATGATTGTTTCAGTACTCCATCTGTGAGAGAACAAAGCAGAACAGAAGCTTTTCAAAATAAAAAGAGAAGCTTAAGCCTTTGATGTATGTGGCAAACCTGTCAGTGATGAGGAAGATGTGTCAGAAGGCAGCACTGTGACTGTCAAAGTGGGAAGCAAGCAAAGTAAGATGCTGACATGTGATGTGCCTGTCACTGCATGTGCCATAAACTGAGCAGTGCATACCAGATAGGCATATTTTAGTTCTGGTTAGTGTATATTTTACTGTTACAGGCATACCTTTGGTAATAGAAAGAATATTGTTACACATTCAGAAAATTTGGATTTATTGTACTGCCTTTGTCATTTGAACTGCAGCTGTAATAGATGTGAGCATGTAGGCATACACTTTTTATGTAGACCTCCTCTCAGCTATTGATAGCTATTTAAACATCAGACATTATTGCAAACTGTCTAACCTCCTGCTGGAGTCAGTGGGGAGAGAAAAATGCTTCCAGAGGGTAAATACTCTCACTTATCCTGTTTACCTATTTTGATGTGGGAGAAGTCTCCCTCCTGGCTTGACTGCCTAATACAAAACTATAGAGAATGTCTAGGGAAAAAGCTTACATCAGTAGTCATCCAGCCTTTAGAGGGAGGAATAATGCCAAAAAGAATTCCAGCCCATATCTGTGGTACACAATAACAACAGATTACATTATCTATGCGTGAATGAGAAACCTACTTCTGAAGGCCTCATTTTCTCAGGTGCTTCAGGTTAGTCATCTACACAGAGCTGACTTCACTTCCAGAAGAGAACTAATTGAGCACAATGAGCACAATGTCTTTGAAAAAGAAAACACATTCCCACATTTAGATGGACTGATTGGAATAACTAAGTTTTCCCACAATATCTTGTACATTGTGGGCACAGGGAAAAAGCCTCTTCCCATTTCAGGTGATTATTATCTGTGCCTCTCTATGAGCCATCACTTTTGCTTCTGAGTCCTGGCCACCCAGCACCCTGGAAGAAGCCACGCTCCCACCACAAAATGCCAACTATAAGCCAAAAAGTTCTGCCTACTCTAGCAGACTGCCTTAAGGACAGCAAAAGAACTCTGGCCTGGCTGCCCACATCAGGTGAGAGGGTGGGTTGTGTTCACCGGCCATGGCTGCTGGTGGCTGTCCCTTTCTTCATCTGTTCCAGAAGTAGCAATGCTCATGGCTCCAGATCTCCTCCAGAGATTCTCTTTCCCAATCTTCACCCCTTCCTATTGTCACTCTTTCTTCTCATCCTTGGCCCATTTCCTGGGCCCTCTTTAGTTTTGGTAATGCTGCCAAGCAGGACCTGCTGTGATGGCATCTGTGGAAATACACCTCTGTGTTCATAGTAACATCTTTCCTGTTAAGCCAAACATTTACCAAAAAATGCTCCAGAAGTAGTTACAGAAATTCACAGGATCACAGGATCACGGGATGGGATGGGATGGGATGGGATGGGATGGGATGGGATGGGATGGGATGGGATGGGATGGGATGGGATGGGATGAGATGCAGGGGGACCACAGGGGGTCATCTGGTCCAACCTCCCTGCACAAGCAGGGCCATCCTGGAGCACATGGCACAGGGTTGTGTCTAGACACATATTGTTGAATATCTCTGGTGAGGGAGAGATTCTATAACCTCCCTGGACAATCTGTTGTAGTCACAGAGACTAGAACAACAGAGAATAATAAAGAGGTTATTACACAATAAAGAAGTTCTTCCTCATATTTAGGTGGAACTTCCTGTGTATCAGTTTCTGCCTTGTACGTCAAATTCTGCAGTAGGCATGCACACAATAAGTGAATTATATATTTTCTATTTCTAGTAGTTTAGGATGATGCTTTAGACTCCCAAACTTGAATTATCATCCAAAATATTGTATTTTTCATTATATTTCTATATATCTCTGTTTATAACATTGAAAATTAATATCTAATTATCTATTTTAAAACTTTGCCGAGTTATTTCTCTCAAATGAGGTTGTTGGTTTTTTTTAACAGGATATGAGGTAAAGCTGTAAATTTTATAGTTGAATTGCAAAAATAATGGAAGTGTTTTTCTGTTTGCTGGATTTGCTTGTTCTATTGTACTCTTTATTTTTTCTGGGATGAGATTGGAATACAGCAAGTATTCAAAAGCAGGCTGGTTTTGTATTTCTGGCAAGTATGGCTAGAAATCTCTGAGGAGGAAGTGTTGAGAAGAGAGAATGTCAGTTTACCCTTGTTCCTCCTGTGCAACATATCTTTTTACTCAATCTAGCAGTGACTATTAAAACCCCACACTTTTATGTCCAATATTAAATTCCATATTTATAAAGAGTTACACATACACATTTCTAGCTCCTAAAAATTGAGTGCTCTTGGCAAAGCAGAGAATTTATAAATCCTGCCCATAGCAAAATTGGTAACTCAGAGTGCTCTGAACATCCAGAGCTAAATCTGTTTATGTTGCAAAAGGCCTCTAAGATAGTCCTGCAAAAGAATGTAATTCTCACCACAGTGATGAATGTACCCACATACAAGTTCTGAAAACTAGTAAACTTTCTGGAAAAGGTCTTCAAGGCTTTATAAATATGGAGATTACTTTTGTATACATACATAATTCTAAATATATACTGTAGCATTAGCTCTACTGGTGGAAGCTAGGTAAGGAATACTGAAAGTGTATATAGGTTTTTCAACTAAAAAGGGAATTCAGGGCTACCAGAGGTAACTGTCCAACCAGAACTGGCTCCAAGAAGCATTAGTAAGAGCAAAAACATTAAAAAGCAACACACAGGATTTTTTTTTTTTGCTAAATGCATATCTGGGTGTAGCAACTTCAGTTGTTCACACATGTGAGTTTAAAACTTATAGACAGAATGTTATTTATTAATGAAAACTTATTACAAATCAGCAGTAAATTAATACAGATTTGTGATATAGCTAGTGACATGCCATGTAAGGGAAGTTCTCATATGGCCTAGCACATGTATGTGAAGCCTCACAGTTCAAGTTCAGTGTATCATGTTGTACTGGCTCAATTCCCCTTTGCCTGAAATCAAATTATTACAATTTATTTCATAGTGTTACTCTAACAGCAAATCACCTAAAACAACTTTTCAAACACGACTTAAATTAGTGCTTTTCAATACCCATTATGTATTTTGGTGTTACAGAGCATGTGAATAGATGTAACTTTTTCAGTTGAAATTCAGTTTAAATCTGAACTGAGATAGTAAACCAGCAAATCAAGTCCTGATCTTGGCTGTAACAGTACACCACTCACCTAAAATAAAAAGTTTATACCTCTCAGGCCCTAGTGCATTTTTTTCCTTTTACAATGACTTTGCTTAGTATTTTCTATTGACTTATACAATATTCCCTTGAAAAAATAAGCAAACAAGGCAAGAGCATGAGAGATACATAGGCTAAGAGAAAATAACAAGATTAGGATTTTTACTGATAATAATTTTACCTGCTTTGCAAGGGTATGTTAAAAACTCCATATTTTTCAATTCAGTTAATTTCCATAAGGGTAACAACAGGAACTGAGTGAGTAACCAAAAGATCCTCCAAGCATTGGGGCAGAACAGAAAAAGAAATGAGCAGATCCTTAACAAAGGACATTTCAGCTTCCTTGCTGCACAAGAACTCTGTCAACAGAAGTGTGTGTGAGAATCCCTGGGGCGAAAACAGCCTTCTTCAAGCATTGGCTGAATTATTCACAGAAAAAGACAGAAAATAAAGGAGAGGGAAAGGAAAAAAAAAATAAAAAGAGAGAGTAAGAGCATGCTTCATAGGAACACCAAGCACTTCTAAAAATACAGCATGACCTCATTCTTCATATTATGCCAGACCTTAACATCGTGCTTGCTATATCACCTGGAGCACCTGGAGTCAGGTTCCCACTGCTTGAGTTTGGATGCTGTCAGATTTTGAAAAGGTAGGCAGTGAAATGCCTTTTGATGTAGTATAAAGCCAGTGCAAAGGAGTACCAAAATTAGCTTCCATGTCACTTGCAAATTCTAATTATTTTCTGCCTATGTTTTGTCAAGAGCTACATTTGCTGCCAAAGCTTTACAAGTCTTTCTTTTTATATATATATATATAAATAGAATCATAGCTTGCAGACAGACTTCTGCATAAGCTGCAAAATGTAGCTGTGGTACAAGTTACTGGACATATGAGCCTCTGAGTGTGATTATAAATCAGTTATTGCAAATCTGGCTTGGAAAGGAGAAGGATGTACTGTCACTGGAAATACAGGGTGAGAA